AGAGGTAGCATTAAAGCTTAATTTTGGATGCTAAATTTACTGGAACAAATGTGAATGTTTTTATTGCCACTGACATATTCAAAAACAAGTTTTTCTTCAACCTGTTTGTTTTTTTTTTTTGTCTTATAGCAAGCTGTTATGATTAAAAAATCCCACCTGTTTCCAAGCATATACAGCATTAAGCCAAAAGACTCCCTGCATGAATTCTGGTTTGAGTGAGTAACTTTGACTCTAACTGAATCTCTTTTGAGACACACCTAGAGTTTGTGTTTTGTAGAACTTTTGACTAACTGATTACAAATTTTTTTTCCGTGACTGGTAGCTGATGAACCCACATGGGTTTGCTCTTCCACCCTAAAGTTTTATTGGCAAGTAAAGTGAGGTGTCAAGATTTGATGTGATTCACAGTGAGGATAGGAGTGAAGCTGCCATCTGATTTTAATGGTAACTCTCTCGGCCCTGTTTTGCCTACAGATGACCTTGCTCAAGAAGGAGGAGAGAGAATTTCAGGTTCTGCAGATAAGAAAGCTTCCTTCTGAGACTAGAAACAACACTGCCTGAGATGTGACTCTTGAATGTCTTTGTGATGTTAAATTATGCTAGCATAATATATTTATATTAAAGTTTCTGCCATATTTTAAGTGCTGTTTGGATGTAGACTATACAGTAACAGCTTCCAAAATGGCTTTGCTCTAAACAGGAGAGGATTTAACATGCATTTTTATCTCTTGGTAGGAAAAGTTTTCTGAGCAGGATTAGCCTAGGAAACAGTGTTTGCATTTGAATTACTTTTCTGCCTTGAGTTTAAATCCTGCTATAATAACACTGTCTTTCAAAAAAACCTTGTTTGGGTCATTTTCCCTGTCAGTGCTGGAAATCCCATGAAATCACCAGTGATCATATTACATATTTGTGGGTGGAATCTTGAAAGAGTTCTTGAGATACTCTGGCCATGCATAGCAAGAAATTGGAAAGCTGTCTATACTTTGGCTTTGATGCAGAATGATTCCTCCCTTAGTGGTACAGTCATTCATTCCTGTCCATGGTGATCTGGCATGAACACCTGCACTGAGCCCAGCTGTTTCCTTGCCTTGCTGCTCTTCCCCGCACTGTTATGCTGCACAGAAGGCCTCTTCCACCTGCAGAGCTGGGCTTTCAGTACCCAACATGCTGTTCTCTTAAAGTGTTCTGTCTTCAATCTGTCTTGGCAAGTTTTGTCTGTGGCCTGCATGGAAATACTTTAAAACCCAACAAAGAACATATTTCAGCTGTTGACCTCAGCAGTTCTTAGCAGCTACATCATTTCCCTGATACTTGCAGTCCAGTAACCGGAGAGGATGCAAGCTGGCTGGCTTTTGGCCAGGGAGCTGGTTCCTCTGCACATCTCTGCAATCAATCCAGTCCATTGCCACAAGTGCCAGAGGGAGTTTTAAAAGACACGGAGACATGTTATAAATGCTTCAGTCATTGCAGCTGTATATGAAAGAGAAGCAGGCTGCCTGTCGGTGCTTTGGGGAGTTAAGAAGTTGCAGTACTGGGATGTAAATGAGACCATTTTCATGTATTCATTTCCGTACATGAACTGCTGACAACAGTGGTAAAATGGTGTTTGCCCCTGAAGTTCAGATCAAGCCCATATTCTTGAGAGGGCCCCGTTCTTTCCCCACCAAGCAGGTTGGTACTTACTTAGGTGAGCTGATGGTCACAGAGAATTTAGGTGAAATGAAATACTAGCTTACATAGGCAGGAGATGTGGATTCTGTCCTCTTGTGTGTTTACTAACACAAAAAGCAATGTATTTACTTGTATTTCAACCTTTTGGAAATTGACAATTTTCTTTTACAATGCATCTCCCTGGTAGATTTTAGATAGATCTTTACATTGAATTCCAGCTATTGCAGCACAATTAGTACTAAATACCTAGTCTTGTTGCTTTGGTTTGGGTTTTGAACTGGGTGGGGTTTTTTTGTTGTTGTTGTTGTTGTTGTTGTTCTGTTTGTTTGTTTTGGTTTGGTTTTTAGGTTTTTGGTTTGGTTTGGTTTGGTTTGGTTTTTCTCTTTGGGACAAGCATTTTTATCTCTTCACTAACAAATTTAGGCTCCTTCCCCACTGCAATGGTAGGTACTCAAATCAGCAGAGATTTGCCACTGCTGTTAGACAGGGGTATGTCAGAGTATGAGTTTTATCTCTGCAAGGTGCCTGGTTCTCTTTTAACCATCACTCCTGATGGTCACCACTGGGACAGTCATACCAGCTCCTGATGCAGAGAAGGCAGAAACAGGTAAGGGATCACACCCAAGCAGGGCTGTACATGAGGCTGACACTTCCTAAGGCCATAACTTAAAACTACCAAGGCCAATGATACTTAAGCAATTTGGAAATTTTATTTTATCATGACTTCCCAGTCTAATATTTTGGATATTGGGCCAAAATCCATCTGAGTTCCCTTGGATTTGTTTTCTTTTTCTTTCTGAGTGGCAGACATAGCAGTCTAGCTGTAGCACGATAACATTCCAGGGATCCAACTTGTCTGACTCTGACCAGAATAGTTTGGTGGAGGAGGAAAATCTAATGAGAGCAGGATGGCAAACATATTATCACATTATATATATATCATTATATTTCTTCTGCAGTACACCCTTTCAGTGCAAGGGGATAGTAGACAGTCCTTGCATGGGTAACACCGACTGTCAGCTATGCAATAATGTAGTTTTTTACCTTGTAGGGTCTCCAGCCCTATTTGTTGAAGACTCCTCAAGTCTCGTTCAGAAAACATTATTTCCTCAGAAGACATTCTGCATGGTTTATATCAACAACCATGTGGTGGCTTATGCAAGGTATGAGAGTGGCATCATCTCCACAGGAACTAAGACCTGTGTAAGAAATGTCCGTGTTGTGTGTGTGATTTATTTTAGATGTTCTCCTTGAGATGTTATGGACCCAGCATTTGGGACCATCTGGCATTGTTTGGCACTTTCTCGAATCAAAAGCCAGTAACCCAAGGCAAGCCTGGTGGGAAGGGTTCATTCTCAAATTCTTTTTGGGACTGAAAACACAGAAAACAAAGGGTTCCTAGTCTCAGTTCTCCTGCCTTCACCCAGGATAGTCAAGAGAGTAGAGGAACTGCATTTAAATGGAAGGGCTTAAACAGCTCTAAGATGGACCACATTTTCAGAAAATAAAGGTAAAAGTTGTTAGCATGTTTCTACTGAGCATATGCAACATATATTTTTTCAGACATTTGTAACTTGAAAATATGAAAAGGCACGTTGCATGCCAAACTGCAATTCCTTCCTCATGATGATGGTGACATTGCGACCTTTACATAATTTTCAATGTGAAAAACCCACTTTGTCCCATAGTGTTATTCTGCAGTGCCTGATCTCCCACAGCTGACATGAAAAGAAATACACTTCTCCCTATCCAAAGCCCCTGATTAAATCAAACTGAAGTCAGAGAATGAAAAATTTCAGACCATCTGTTCAAAGTTATAAACAATTGAAACCAAGGTATTTTTCTGGCCAGAGCAATCAAGCATATCTACAGTAATTAGATTTAGTTATGTTTTTTTAAGCCGTGTTCTTTTTTATCCCTATACAAATTTATTTGTGATCTAGAGCTCCAAATACACTGGAAAAGGCAAAACAAACAAACACAAAAATTCTCTTCCTGCAAAGATGAACAGGAAGAAAATACGCTTCCAGAGTCAGAAACAAGGGTACTGTTCACAGCAAGAAAAAGAGCACCATATCTGCATCTGCTTACAGAAATTACATTCAGATGGCAGGGGGTTCATTGCCACCCTTGGCAGCAAATTACTTTCATCCCCCATCCCTAGCTCTTTGACGTGATCAAAGGAGTTAACAGCACAGAGTATCCAAACCCTCCTAAAGGGGGAAAAAAAAAAAAAAGGTTGTATTTTCAATCTTTTGTGGGTTTTACATTTTTGACATATTTGTGGATATTGCTGCATAACAGGTGACCTGCAGAGGAGTTACGTACATTTAAATGCTTCTACCAACTCAGCAGCTTCACCCTCGCACTCAGCAAACCTCAAAACCCATTTTCATTTGAGAAAATCTGCCAGAGTGAGGGTGATTCCCTAATTAGCCACATCCTCCATGTATCACCGTTAGATAACACAAGGAAATGTGTTCACGGCTTGCTGCTTCATCGAGCTGCTGTAGTGATTCATTCCACATCAACTAGCACTGGGAGAGCAGAAAAGCCCAGGCTGACAGCAGGGTTATGAAGAGAGCACCATTCTCATAAGATTTTTTTTTTCCCCACAGCGTCTCCCCCATTGTTTTTTCACAGATGAGGGTTTGCCCTGTACTGCCCTAAGGAGCTTGCCCCCCATTTACCTCCTAGAGTAGAAGATCTTTGTGGTTGGGTCAGTTGTTCAAAACGTGTCAAAATGTGTGTTTCTCGATCCTGCTCCCAGCTGCCACCTCATAGGGGGATCAGCTGGATGCCAGTGTCTCTCTGGACCAATAACATTCAATTCCCATGAAGTCCTGCTCCTGGAGACTGGAGAACTCTTGATGAAATTCTTGCAGCCACAGGACTCTTTGCTTACAAGAAGAGAAGCTGGGGCATGATGCCCTGCTCTGAGCACCACACATGCCACAATGACTGATCATTCTTTGTGGGATCCTCCATTCAACTATGGCTGGCTGACCACTGGCTGCATCCTCCCAGCCCAGGGCCTGGATTCCTTCTGTATCCAGGGAACAACAGCCACATGCATGCATCTCCAGAAGCCATTTTATCTGTCCTGTTTCAGACACAACTGCACAGGAAACATAAGAAACCATTTTTTGATCAGATCAAGGTCTTAGAATGCTGTACTTGAGGAAAAACACCTACAGCCTTCTGTATTCAGAAATAAAACTTGTATTCCCCTGAAACTGTGAAAGAAGATTTATGTTTTGAGCATCTCTGCATTTTCACTTGCTTCCACCTGTCCTTGTTACCCACATGTAACCTGCCTACACTTATGGAATTACGATTGAATAATGTGCGTGTGTGCGTGTGTGTGTGTGTGTGTGTGTGTGTGTAGTCTCAGAGTCTGTCACTGGCCTGCTAAGAAATGTGATGGGTGCAGGAATTACTTACAGTGCAGCCTGGTGCACTGAGTTGTTTCAGGGACTCAGCGTTATTTTGAAGGGTGCTCTGTGTTTTGTATTACATGTCTGCAACACTGTTCCTTACAACTGCAATATGTCATTAGCTTTTCTTCCAAAGAATAGCCTCTTCTAGGTGGCTTCACTGGGCCTGTCTTCTCTGGAAGCACATTCCCTAAAGAGGTTATGCACCCCTCAAATGTATCATGTACTTGATGACTACTCCCACAGGAGTCATGTCAGTCTTAAGGATTAGGCTCAGTGTGTGGAAAAGTGCTGGGAGTTTCCCTCAGGAACAAAACAGTCTGTTTTGTTCAGTGAGGGTTACCATTCATTCCAACAAGAAATACTGCTTTATGCTTTAGCCCTAGTAGCAGCATGCCACTTAAGTCCATATTAAAACATGGCTCAACTGTTCTTTGTTAGTAGTTTGGGGCCAGATGGCAAAGCCTTATGCTGACCTGCATCAAGGGAAATGCTGTGCTTTGATTTTCAGTGCTGGCTAGCCCAGACTGCTGCCAAGCTCCTCATGCCCTGGCTTCTTTACCTACTGCCAAGAGGGGTGATCAGCTGGGCATTTGAATTCTCAGTCCTGCTCTCTCTGTCCTCATTCACTTTGCTGAAAGGCTCCTTTTCCCTTCAAAGGGTGTCTTCTCTCATGCCCTGGCATTGCAGCCCAATCTGCTCCAGAAATATGCCTGAAGATGACTGATATGTGTAATATACAAGCAAACAGAATGTTTAACATGTTATTCTAGGTCCTTTGATATTAACCATGTGTACAATGCAGGGGAGGTATTGTCCTGCCAAATTCTCGTCCCACCAAAAAAATCCTGTGTTGTATCCGTAGTGACCTGCGACAGACCCTATTTTCCAGCAGCATTTATTATATTTATTTAGACTATGCTGAGGACACAGACAAGGATGAGAAATTAAGAGGGGCTGTGCTGACAGGAGACATGGAAGAGAGACTCTAAGGCACAAAGTTGACCATACAGAGTGAGATGGGTAGACAAAATGAGCACTTGGCCTAGCAGCTGGTTGGGAGAATGGTGTTACACCAAACCAAACACTGCTATTTAAAAGCAATTAGAAGGTACAGATTAAAATACCTTTGATAATAGCATCATAGCTGTATGTGCGTGAAAGAAAGACATATATCCTTAGGAAGACAACCATCAGCTGTGCTCTCCAGCAAGTGGGAAATTATCTATTACTTCTCATCAAAGGCCTTCACCTACACTGAAAGTGGTGGATTTTTGTCTTTGTCAGTGTTGGAATCTCTAAAAGATACAAGCATTTTAAAAAGAGAGTTGTATTTTCTCGTTGTGTCTGGTTATCAATATTAATACATGATTATCGTTGTTGCTTTGAAATGTGGGAATTCCTTACCTTACATCAGCTTTACAAGCAGGGCATTTGTTTAGTGCCAAAGTAGTCTGGCACACCAACTCGACATTCAAGAAGCAAATGTCATTAGTATTAGTTTTATCTCTCTTGGGATGTCCTTTTTTCTTTATTTACGAATAAGATAAGTCTGTTAAATTACGTTAGTTTGTTATCAAACTTTCCGTCCTTAGGAAAGGAGGGGCCTTTTTCCTCTTTAAGTGTGTTTGTTCTAGTTCTGAGGATTACTCATTTCCAGAACACTGGCAGGTAGCATAGAAAGCAGGGTTTAGCAACAGATTTTCCATACCTGAGTCACAGGATGTACTATGGAAAGAATATGATGTTATTTAGAAGGCATTAGTATTTTCAGTGTAGGTCATATGCCATGTAAAAACTAGCAAAGTAAAAAGTGGTAATGCCTCACCATTTTCTTCACACAGAAAACGTGGCCAAAACCACATCAATCTTTTAAGAAAACATATGAAGCCTCTAACATGTTTCATTACATTTCCTTTTTGCAAAATAGTGACTCGTCCTGAAATAGTACCTTCTAACCTGTAACCTTAATCCTATTCTTTTTAATACGAAGCAGTAAATAACCTGAGATGCAGTTCCCTGATACACAATTACAGGGAAAGAAATCTACCATGAACGGGGATCAGTTTGTACCATCGCTGCAGAAATACCTTTCTGTGTGAAAAGCCTGTCTCTCCTGCAAAGATTCCTGTCTCAGCCTGTTGCTCTGCCACTTGCTTGTGGAGGTGTCACCATTGGCTGCAGTTTGATCAAGCAGATCTAGTCAGAACACATCTGCTGCTTGGCATCTTCTTGCCACATCTTCCTGCTCTTGGCCATCTCCTTGCTCTGTCTGTGTCAGCAATAGCCCAGGCTGGCTGGTGGCTGCTCAGGTTCGTACCTGGGTAACATCTCAACAAGCATTTGAAGTACAGTTGATCACACTTCCAGGCACAAAGACAGGTAAAATTGGTGTTCCCCAGTCTGTGATCAGGTCCATGAAACATGAGAAGATGATCCAGGAAAAGGCTGCAGAACAGTATTTCTAAACAATTACTCATGCAGTTACTCACCTATATGAGTGAACAATAATAAAAGGAAGTAGTGGTGATTGATAAACCTTCAGACTTTGGCCTTTTTGCATGGTTCCAAGTACAGAATGGCTGCACAAGTTCCTTTGACAAAAATGTGGAGGACCACTGGAAACAAGACCTACCTATTGGTTTTTTCTATGCAAAGGGTAACTTAAACAGCATTTCACAAGGCAGGTGCGCCTTTTGTGCACTGCAAATGTGACCCCCTGCATCAGCAACAAAGGTGATAAACAAGCCAGGGTGGCTGGAGCCTCTACCTGAGTAGCCCTGCTCATGAAGCACCTTGAAGAGGAGCCCTGAGAATTTTCTCTTTTCTCTGAGACAGCCATTCCCCACAGGCATTATCCTCCTTACAACCCCTCCTTAAAATCCTTCTTTGACATTCCACCGAGCCTCCTCAAAGATGCCCACCAGCAGGCAGAGTGGGCCAAGGACTCTGTTACAAATTGCACTGCCTTTGTCTCAGCACTTGATCACTACCTTGTTTTCTACTGTAAAGGTCTGGGGCAGTGACAATCTCCTCCTCTTCTCTGTATCACTTAGCTCAACAGGGTCTAGCTCATAAGGATATCAAAGAACTAAATCAAAAGAAGTAAAAAAAAATCGCAAAGAATTAAAATAATAAGCAGTTAAACAAAGGAAGTGATAAGTACCCAAATTTAGCATATTATACATATTTTTAAACAGTTAGTAATAGAAAAGATCACCATAGGAATAATAAGTGTTACTATTTTTGCCTTGTGTAGATCTTTTAATCTGTGACTTTCTGAGCACTCTAATTAAAGACTTTGCACATATCCAAGTACAAATAATTCCCATCTGGAAGGGACAGAATGCCAAAAGTGAAGCAATTTAATGCCAACAATATCCTCATCTAGCATTATCACTGCAGATCTGGGGTTAAGCTTCCATTTTTAATTAGCTAGCAATCCTAGTATGACATAGATAGATAAGGGAGGTCCTCATCTGCTGTTTGATACATGGGTCAATAGTCACCAAATCATGAATGTTTGCAATGGGCATTTACCAGCAAATCTGTGACCTCTGAAGTGACTCAGTTATTGGCCGGAAACACTTGAGTGCTGGTCTGCAGCCATAAAACTGGGATTCAGCTTCAGAGCTGAAGGTGGTAACTTCCTTCTCCTTTTAGCACTCATTATGTGTGGTAAAATAATCCCTTCCTCCAATTTCTTACTTATCTTAATCTTACTGATGGCATTAAGA